CTCGCCTCCTTCAGTTTACTGACTCCAAAATACAAACAGAATTGCGCTTTCCGGAAGTTCCTGACTTATGTTTTAGCAAAACAAGGCAAAAATAGAAATGAAACGAAGAAATCAGGCCCCACTTCCCCAAATCGAGTGCGTTTTGTACGTGATTTTTGTGGGGCGGCCTTTCCCCATCAGGGGGCCATTCATTAACCCTGTTCCCATCCTTATGAAGACTCAAACATGACAAAGCACGTTTGCAATTCATAACGGTGACATTTTGTTGCATCCGTCTTACGAGTTTTACTTGATGTGGGTGAAATGCCGTGCTATGTGGTTCGAAAAACAGAAATGACCAAGCTGTCCTCACTGATGAAAATATCTGCAAGCAAGCGTATCATTATGCCTTTGCGTGGTAAGTCATGCATTCTACCTTACATGATTTTTGCTGTTTTGGCGACTTTTAGTGCTTTCCCAAAAGGCATGCGTCCTTACAGGTTTGTTCACACATAACTTTTCCAGCGCGGTAAAAGCGGATGACACGAGAAAAAGTGTGGCACATATGTAATACACACCCGAGAGTATTCAAATTGGGATCCAAGAGGGCCTGCTCGTCGTAGTGTAAAACATGCCTAGGGTCCAAATGGGCTCTTAGATTATCTTCAGTATTCAGGTGTACAAGAAAGCTGTAATTAATGAGCCACCGCGCATCGGCTACAACTACGGCGAAAACAAGTCGCGCGGTAAGCATTCAAACATGCAGTGCAACTTCGTTAAGCCCCTTTCTCTAAAAAGTTGCATTCATACGGTGACCAGGCGGGAGATAGGTCAAGAAAGAAAATCCTGAGTGCAGAAGCGGTAGCTGTTGAAAAGTACCGCGCATTCAACAAAAATGTGACGTATTCAGTAAAAGTGTGACACATTCAGCAAAAGTGTATCGCATTCAGTAAAAGTGTGACGTTATAGTATGGGGCTATGCACACCCGTCCGATGCGCTGAAAAACCTATCCCAACAGACCTTTGCGCGTACATATAGTAAAAATCCCATTAGAAATAAGCGCACTTTGTAACAGGCGCACGTCTGTCCCTCCCGCAGACAATTTGGTGTTTCGGCAAGCATATCACGAGGGTACCATCGAGTCTACTTTATGATCAATTCGGGAATTTTAAGTAAACAAGAGGAAAATGATGGAAGGCGTTCTTTATAAAATGGCATGTTCTGAACTAAAAAATTATGTCTGGCGTCAACATCATTTCGCGCTCCATTTGGCCATCTGAAATTAAGCCGCTTCATCATTTTTGTTACAAGTTACAGAGCGGGGTGTAGTTTTCTATTCAGTTGAGAGAGGGCTCCAGTTCCTCCCGCCGTCCAGCTTGGGCTTTGCCCCCCCCCCCCCCCCACCAACGCTGGAAAGGAAGCGGGCCAAAACTGGGGGAAACCTGTATGTTGACATATCTTGGGGTTGGGTTGGGTCATTTTTTATTGTTCAGCACTCCCCCACCAGCTTATTTCTAGAAATTACGCCCTATTACATGTTTTCGTAGTCCTGAGCGGAACAACTGTCAGCGACAAGTTATAAAATGGCGAGCTACAAGTCCTCCTCTTCCATACATGGTTAGAGATCTTCAACGGCATTGTTTTGCATGCCTCATCGCCGCATCGCCACGTTACAGCCTTGTCGCAGCCGCCGCCGTATCGCTGTACTGTACTGCACGTGAAGCGTTCTGCAGTCCTGCCTAGCAAGCAGGCTGAACTGCGTACGCAAAGTTCAGTCCGATTCAACTCCAGCTGATTACAAGCTGGAGACCACTCCACACCTGACTTGAGTTGACCAAAAATAACTAAAGCCGACCGTGCCCAAAGAACATTTTTGCCCATTGTTTTAGCCCATTCCAGGGTTTGGGCTTCAACCACCTGTTTGGATATATTGTTTGCATAGATCACATTCCTTACTGTTCCTCACTGTTTTGCATATAAGCTAGGCAGCTGAGTATGAGTATCCAGCAAACACAAACGCAAAATCACCTTTAGCATGAACCGTGCGTGCGTAACGTAGCTGGTCGTTGAGTGCGCAAAGTATTGAAATTTGCATAGCTGAGTCCCGCTGCATATTCTTTAAGAAGCTTATTTTTGTTGGGCATTCAGCGGAGGGTACCTTGTCAGCTTTATCTGCATGGTAGCCGTCGCATTGCATTCATTGTATCTACTCTGCACTATGAGTAGACTTTACCCCGACTTCTAGTGTGGCAGTGGACCTGGCTCAGCGATTGTTTCCAGAAGTTTTTTTCTGATAAAGTTGGTTCCCTTCCGACTCAGTCAATTTTGTTTGACTCCTATGTCGACTCAGATTCAAAGTCAGAGTGTCCACGCGGTATGAATGTCAGAGGCCAAATTTTGGAACCCGCCCACGTAAACATTTGAAAGGTTTGCACGTTTTCAATCATTGCAGTCAGTGCCACTACTTTATTTTTATTTGCGAGGGCGAATCGGCATTAATGTTTGGCTATTTGCGGCGCTGGGCATCGCTGTGCGAACAATCGTGGTTACCTATTTGTGACCTTCGAATTACACAACGTCGTTTTATAGACATATAGACATCAGGCCGACAAAGAGCCACAAGGGCCCATCGAGGTTGGCCTACCCTATGTTCCACATCCATTCTTTGATTACATCCATTATTTGACACGCCCGGTTTTAGAAATAAATGAGATCCTTAGACCTATGGAACCTGTCCAAATGATTTTTTAAATATTGCTAGAGTGGAGCTTCCTACAGCCTCGTTTGGTGGTTCATTCCAATGATTCACTACTCTTTGACTGTGACATCTCCCTTTTCATAGTTCTTCTCCTACATTTTGCAAACTGAAACTCGTTTCCTCTAAGTCTCGGCCTAAGTTCAATTGCTCTTTGAAGATCTGCCCTGTCTCTCCCTTTCATAATCTTGTTTACCTCTATCAGATCCCCTAATTGTACGATATCTTAGTGAATGCCAATCCAAGGCCTTAAGCCTTTATCTATATTCTAAGTTCTCAATCCCATTCATCATCCTAGTTGCTTTTCGCTGTACTCTCTCCAGCCTTTCTTTATTTTTGGGAAACATGTGAATCAAGCCTATACACAATACTCTTAAGTGTGGTCTGACAAAAGCTAAGTGCGACTTTTGACAGCATTACTTCTCTGGTAATGGACATTTCTGTTGATAAATCCCAGCATTCGAAGTACCTTGCTTCTAGCAGCCCCGCCTTGCTTTTCAGCCCTTAAATCCCTGGAAATTATAACCCCTAAGTCCTTTTCGTCCTCGATCTGGTCCAGCTTTATACTTTTGCAGCTTTTTACAACTTTCCGGCCTCCCACTTTATAGCTAATGCCCCTACTGCGAGAACCACGCGCGTGCATCAACTCACACCTATCATAATTAGATGACATCTGAGACAGCCCAGCTCACTAGTTTCTCTAAGTCAAGTTCCACATGGTCTGTATTTTTCGACACCCCTATCAATTTCATGTCAACATATTCAAGTATCTTACTTTCTGATCCTATTTTGATATTGTTCACAAGAATAACGAGCAGAGAATCTAACACCGATCCCCGTGGAACCCCACTCTTCACAAGCTCCCAATGAGATTTGGTGCCATTGAGCACTACTCTGTCTCCTGTCTTGCAGCCAAGTCCCTACGCAGCCAAGAATTTTTCCTTCAATGTCACGCAACTCTAACTGATATAAGAGACGCTGGTGCCGCATCGTATCGAACGCCTTACTAAAATATAGGTCAACAACATCCAAACAGCCTTTGTCTATCTGACTAGTAGCATGCTCCATGAACTCCAGAAGATTTATCAAGCAGGACCTACCAGAAAGAAAACTACGCTGAATACTAGTTATCAACTAATGCATTTCTAAGTGTACCTGAATGTTATCCTTAATATTGCTCTAATATATTATATGCTAGTGAGGTAAGACTGACAGGCCTATAGTAGCACTCTACCATGTGTCTGACCAGGTTCGGCCGGTTCGGTTTTGATGCTGCGTTGCGCCCAAACGACCAAAAACCTCTTCAAACCAAACAAGAACATCGCTGGGGATTATTTTAATTTACAGGCATTACAAGTTCAACGTTGATTAACAATCGAGCGATATGGCGTGTGCCAGGCCTGGTAAAACCCGGCCATTTGCGGCACACGAAATACTAGCAGGCGGCCCACGCAAGAGTTGGCCCGGTCGGCCGGCCACCCACGTGCCTGCAGCGGGCGACCACAACACGGGCCCCAAATATGGCTGGAGCTGACGGCTGCGGGGTGCGGCACGTGCCACTCACGGGAATGATATGCCTGCACGTGCACGTGTCGCCACGGCGACACCCGCCGTGGTCGGGGCTACTCCAGCAATGAGAATGGCGTTCGCGCGCGGGCAGCCACACCAACGAAAACACAGCCGCTTGGGTCAGGACTAGTCGAACGCCACAGTGTCCCACACACATCACAACAACGAACACCGAGCGGTTCGGGGCCAGACCAGGCCAGGTCACGTCACGTCAGGCCAGGTCACGTCAGGTTACGTCAGGTCACGTCATGTCAGGTCACGTCAGGTCATGGGAGGTCACGTCAGGTCACGCCAGGTCACGTCAGGTCACGACAGGCCACGTCAGGTCACGTCATGGCAGGTCACGTCATACCAGGTCGTGTCAGGTCATGTCAAGTCATTTCAGGTCATGCTAGGCCACGTCAGGTCACGTCAGGTCAGGTTGGGTCAGGTCATTGCACGGGCGTAACGGAGCGCGCTGCCCCGACGGCGCGTCCCGGGCAGTAAAACTGCGTATGCGCCGCGTAACTCGCCACCTGCTTGAACGCGATGTTACAGTGGTGGCAGTGCAGGCTCTCCGCCGCCGTCGCCTCGCCGTTGTGCGCCGTCGGCGGCGGCGGCGGCGGCGGCGGCTCCGCCTCCCCCGTGGCGGGGCTGAGCGCCGGTGGCGCCACGTCGCGGCCGTCCGCGGCAGGCCGCGCGCCGGCCACCTCGACGCCGCGCAGCGCCAGCCGCTGCAGCTTCTCGGCAGCTGGCGGGCTGCCGTGCCGGTCCGCGTGCCGGAACAGCTGGTGGCTCAGCATCGTCTCCGGCGAGTCCGTGTAGAAGCTGCAGAAGGGGCACTTCTCGGATACCTTGCCGGCCGGCGAGCCGGACGCGCGCCGCCTGTGCTCGATCATCGACGGCGCCGTCGAGACACGCGAGCGCGAGCGCGGGTGCGCCAGCGCGAAGTGCTTCAGCATCGTCTCTGGGTGTCCAGATTTGAATGCACACAGCGGACACTTCTCCGTGCGATCCTCGCGGCCGGCGTCCTCCTCGTCAGAGTTGGCTACGATGCAGGAGATGAAGTTCTCCTCCGGCAGCTCGGGCGACTTTTTGTCGACGAAATGCACGCGGATATGGGTGCGCATGCCACGCAGCGTGTTGCCCTTGTAGCCGCACAGCGAGCACTTGAAGGCGCGTACGTTGTTGTGCGTCTCGAGGTGCTTCTGCGCCGACGCCGCGGTCGGGGAATACACGTCGCAGCACGGGCACTTCCAGCCCGTCGCGAGCGCCGGGTGCGGGCGCGCGGCGGCGCGCCGGGCGGCCTCGGGTACCGCCGCGGCCGCCACCACGGCCGCTGCCGCCGCTGCCGCCGTCTTGGCCACCCGGCTCGCCTGATCCTGCGCGCAGTAGAACGCCTGATGCGCCTGCAGCGTGCCCAGCGACATGAACTTGGTGCCGCACGCCACACAGTGAAACTGGAAGCGGGCGGCCGCCGTCGCCGCCGCCGCGGCGTCGGGGTCGGGGGACTCCGCTTTGATCGAGTCGCCTTGACTCGGCCTCGATCGAGTCGGACTGCGGCCGGACGGTGAGAGCCGCTCCTCGGCGCTCTCGCGTCCCAAGCAGTAGTGCTGCTTGTGGATCTCGTAGTTGTCCTGTTTGTAGAAGAACACGCCGCAGTCGCTGCACTTGATGACGCCCTGTTTGCCGGCTGGCTGCGGCGTCAGCAGCGGCGGCATCCACACCTCCGGCGGGGGCTTGCCGTTGGCGAGGGCCGGCACCGGTGGCGTCGGGCTGCCGGCGGCCGCCCTGGCCGGCGCCGCGTCGGGCGAGCGGACCTCGGCCGTCTCCTCGTTTCGCCTCGCGCCCAGCGCTTCGCCCAACTCGCCGGCCGGCCGCGCCGCCGGCTTCGACGCAGGTTCGCCGGGACCCTTCCATGAGCTCACTGCGTCCGCCTCGGAGATGGTGTTGGGCGGCTTGATCGAGATCCGGAACGCAGGCTCGGGCGAGGCGCGGCCGTGCTCGGCCGGCGAGGCGGCGCCGGCCGGGCTCGCCGAGCCGGGCCGCGGACTCGCCACCGGCCGCGCCGCGCCAGGCGAGCGCCGAGCCGCGGCGGACACCGGGCGCGGCGCGGGCCGCTCCTCCTCGTTGTCTGACGTCGCGGCGGCCGCCGTCCGCAGCCGCTTGTTTGTCAGGTCCAGCGGCGAGTCGCCCTCGGCGGCCAGCGCTCGTTTGCCGTACGCCGCCAGCCAGTCGAGCGGCTGCGAGGCAGCGGCAGCGGCCGCCGCCGCCGCCGCCGCGCTCAGGCCGGGCAGCGGGAAAGGGAGGAGCGCAGGCACGCCCGGTCGCTGCTCGGCCGGCTCCTTGGCGGCGCCCTGCTGCGCCAGCTGGCTCAGAGTTCGCACCGTGCCGTCGGGCAGCACGACGCACGCTGTGGGCGGCGCGCCCGGCGGGCACGGGTTGGCCACCAGAGTCGCGCCCTGCAATACCTGGTACGGGATGAGCAGGACGGGCGAGGTGGGCAGCGCCACCATGCGCTGCTGCGGCTCCTCCTTGGCAACGCCCGGCTCCGGCTCGGCCGAGCCGCTGCCCCCGGCCGGGTTCTTGCCCAGCCGCGTCTGGCAGTAGTACTGCTTGTGCACATGATACGTCTTCATCGAAGAGAACTGAATGTCACAATTGTGGCAGAAACGCTCCTCTACGCGCTCCTTGTCGCCGCCGGCGCCGGGCGGCGGCGCGTGGATTCGCATGTGCCGGTTCAGGCCGTTGGCCTTGTCGGTGGTGAACGAGCACTGCGGGCAGGAGAAGAGCCGCCGCTTGGCGGCCGGCTCGGCCTGCGAGCTGTTCGCCTCGGAGACGGACGACTCGGACGGGCCGGGCGAGACGACCGGCTCGATGCCGCCCACCACCGGCTCTGCGGACAGCAGCGAGGGGTTAGCGACTCGCCAAGGCGCCCTAGTGCCGGCGAAGGGAGATTCCGGCCAGTGTCGGGTTCGCGGACAGGCAGGCTTCGTTAGCACGTGATTAGGGGCTGTAGCTTGGTCGCGCTTGGAAATGTGTCGCACAACAGAGCTCAGTCTGATCTGATAAACTGTTTGTGTCATTGGGGCTTTACGACGCACTCAGCTGCCGAGGCTAGTAGTTTGCCTCTCACCCTGTCAAGAGGTGCGGGCACCGCGGGGAATCGAACCCCGTACCTCTGGTTTTCCAGACGCGCAGCGTTTAACGCGGATCTGATAAACGGTCCAAAGGCACAGATGAAGCTGGGCACACAAAGAGAATGCTCTTTTCCTGCCAGGAGTAGTTGAGGCGTGCGTGACAGAGAGCCTTGAGCCCTGACTTGACTGACGCATCATGGCATGATGTCATTTTGTTCCAGGTCATGCCTCTTTCTATTGAGTGGAAGGCTGAGAAATGACATGACTTTTAAGGCAAATACCACGAGCCTTATGGTAACAATTACAATGCCCAAAAAGCAGAAAAAACATTTTGTCGTCACGGCTGGCTCGGTGCATGCCCTTGTCGTGCCTTCAGCGGCCATAAAGCCACTTATCCCATCGCCACCTCATCTCAGGGCCACTCATTCTGACGTCATCAGCTCCCGTCCAATGGGGCGGCTCCTGCGCACCTTGTGACGCAGCTCCCAAGCCATCCTTCCGGGCAACTGACGTCACGGCGACCACGTGACTTAGCGACCGCATCGCTGGATGACCGCACCTGGCATACAGGTCCTTGCCTCAGTACCAGAAAAAGATATAATAATATAATGAAGGACAGGCGACAGGTTGCCCTTTCTGTTGTCTATTGAGTAGTACTAATATGAGGTATGCTCTGATATGATTTTTCAACGAACTGTGGAATGCAGACCATCACCAGAAAATTCCTAACAGTAGAGAGCTGACAGGAACAAATACGTTTCAAGTCACATGTGTAGGATATTGCAGTACATCGTTCCCGATTACTATGGCATATTTTCCTTGCCAAATATCCAGTCTTTTCGCCGAAATTTATCTTGAAAATGTTGGCCTCAACGTTGCAAAAAGGGTCATGGTATTCCGACGGTAGCAGGCCTTTGTTCATTATTTCCCATTCCTGAGGATGAATTTGTTTCTGCCCAGGTGTGTCACTTTGCCTACTTTCGGGGGCTATTCCCCTATGCTGACTTGGAGACGCTCAGCCTGCTTCTGATTTTTAATTTCATCCAAGTAACAAGATGAAATTTTTGCTTCATTACGCCCCAAGAACTACTCCTTGTTCTGGACGGTCTTCGTCCGGAAATATTTTCATCAAACAGCTTGGAAAAAACAATGAAATACGACATTTTGAAAATAATCCACGGCCCATGACCCACATTTATGCCATGTTCGAGCTCACAATGTGTGTGTGTGTGTGCAGTGCGTGCATGCGTGCGTGCGTGTGTGTGAGTTTGCAATATTTCAGCGATAGATGACAGTTACATTTTCATTCAATGCGCACTGAATGCACCGTTTAACTGTCGCACAGCTGTTCTACTGCTCAGCTCACAATGAATAGGTCGCCCGCCACCCGACCAGGCGAGCGCCATAAACACGGACATCGCCGGCCAGCGCCGACATCTGAACTTCTTGACAGTCACTCAGTGCCTGCGACTCCCCGGCGTGCAACGCCACCACGGGCAGGCAGTTTTCGATTTTCCCTCTGATGTTCCGTCCTTGATCAACCAACAGCAAAGCACCTTTCATTTTTCCTGAAAGCGTGGCGGAAACATGAACTCCGGGCGACCGGCACTGACAGCGGCAGCGAAACCCCTCTGGAGTCGGCGGCGGGGCGGGGGCAAGCGTGTTTTTGCCAATTTCTCTCCATGCGTCGCCATAAGCACAATGGAAGCCGAATGTTGGTCGGAGTTGAGAAGGCAGCTCCCGCCCCCCCCCCCCCCCTCAAATCCACAGTACACTATGTAGTTACCAACAGAACAATTAAATCAAGGACCGGGTTTCGGGTCTTTCGGCTTCCAGATATTTTTTGTGTAATGTGGTTAGCCTGTGAACGGATGGAAAACGGTATCTGCTGTGCAAGAAACGACCGTTTATTTAGAAGGCTCCTGTAGATCTCATGCAGCCATCATGTCTCGAAAGCGTTGCATCGACCACTGCCTCGCACACCGTAACACGTCCGGTGAATTTCCTTCGAGGATGCTTCCCCTAAACTTTCGTCATAAACTTAACAGTGCCTGAGAACTTCACGCTATTTCCTCAGAACTCCAGACCAACACCGCTCCCCGCTCTTGACATTTGCATTTACACGTGTTTTATTGAAGGCGCATACACGTGGTGGTTGTTTTGCGTCTGATCGCATTAGAAAAACAACACACAGCGCACAGAGATGCGCATATACATAAAAGTAAAGCAGTTTCAGTCAACGAGCCAGCGATTTAAAACAGTCCGGAATGTCCGACGCAAGGGGGCGCGGATGACTGCGTTCCTGCCTGGCTGCGAAGTGCATCACCCCTGGTACCCTGTCTAGGTGACGCTCCGCCGCTCCACTCCCGGTGGACAGGCAGTAGAGGGGTGTGGGGAAGAGGCGTACGTCTCCATCACCCCTGGTACCCTGTCTAGGTGACGCTCGGCCGCTCCTCTCCCGGTGGACAGGCAGTAGAGGGGTGTGGGGAAGAGGCGTACGTCTCCATCACCCCTGGTACCCTGTCTAGGTGACGCTCGGCCGCTCCTCTCCCGGTGGACAGGCAGTAGAGGGGTGTGGGGAAGAGGCGTACGTCTCCATCACCCCTGGTACCCTGTCTAGGTGACGCTCGGCCGCTCCTCTCCCGGTGGACAGGCAGTAGAGGGGTGTGGGGAAGAGGCGTACGTCTCCATCACCCCTGGCATCCTGTCAAGGTGACGCTCGGCCGCTCCTCTCCCGGTGGACAGGCAGTAGAGGGGTGTGGGAGAGGAGGCGTACGTACCGCCTGTCACTCTCATCAGGACGCTGATCTAGCTCCCCCATGCAAGCAGACTGAGCGTGAGTGAAGCAACAGAGGTTGGGCAGCAGGCCGTAGCCATGGCCTGGGGGTCATGAGTTTTTGAGAACGCTCAATATTAACCATCCTACGGCGATTCAAGAAAACAATCTACTTTGAAATTGGCACTGAACTCCCGCCCCCCTCCCCATCTCACCCTCTCTTTGTGAGCCGGTCCAATGGTAACGGACCTGTGGCCGGAAAGCGGGGTCTTCTGTATGCTGTCGAGCAGCTGTATAACTCGCTGCCGTTGGAACCACGTGATATGCCGGTAGATGATTTTAAACGTGCGGTGAAGAACTTCTTGGGGTGCGTCATATTAACAGTAGCAGTGCCGAGTGAAAATGGGGGGGGGGGGGGAGGTGTGTGCAGTCATGTGTGCCAGTGTGTGTGTGTGTTTCAAGGAGAACCTGTGCATGCATGTGCCTTGCTATAACTTATATTTGTAGTTCTTCTTGCGTGCTGGGTCTATAACTTAACTGTTTTAACTGTTTTTTAACTTAACTGTTTAACTGTTTTGTTTTAACTTCTGTTTAAGATTCAAAAGCATTTCGGCGCTTTTCTCGGTTTTGAATGGTGTCCCTACTAGGCTCTCGCGAGAGGCACCATGCACTGGACCTCGGATCCCACACCAGCCAGCTGGCGACGAATGGTTGCCCCCCCCCCCCAAAAAAAAACTCCAGGCTAGATCCGCCCCTGAGTACAGCATGCCAGGGGTCATCCCCAGCAGCAGTCGCCGCGGTGCCCCCTCCCCCGTCCTTCCGCCGGTAATTTTGTCGTCGACATACCGGGCACTAGTGTAAGGTCAGCCACGCGACATGGGGGAACCGTCAACAAGGTGGTCGGGCCCCGAACCCAGGCCATCTCCGCAGCTTCGACGGTTTGTGTGCCTTCACCCCAACCAACCAAAGCAGATGGAATCTGAACGCGGCTGGGCGTGTGGCCACTCCTCTGTTCCGCGGCGGCCCCCCCAACAGGGCGTGACCTTGAACGTCCGCGGGTCGGCGACTGATCGCCCTGTCGGCCGACTCACGTGCCTCGCCGGGACCAAAGCCCGAGGGGCCCAGCTGGCCGTGCGGGCTGATTACAGCTGTCTGACCCGGGACGTATCTCTCCGAAACAGGAGCGGGCCAGCTGACTGCCGTCCAGCCGCTGTCAGGGCGGCGCGGCGCCGGCGCCAGCTCGCTGCCCGCTGCGGAGCGCCAGCTCGCTGCCCGCGGCGGCGCCGTTCCTGCGGGCGGGCGAGCCTCGCGGTTCGCTGCCGCCCGGGCAAGTGAAGATCATGGATGTTAGCCGCAGAGACCGGCAGGTGGCACTGATGTGAAACCAGGGAAGACAGCGCGTGCGCGCCTGTCCGCCACAGGTCCGTCTCTGTCGAAAAGCAGCGAAGGACTACAAGGGGACTGCAGTTGGTCAGGCTTATTGAAAGATGGCAGTCAAGTGGTACAGATTTAGTCAAGTGGTAAAAAGGAAACGCCCACCTCTCTTGCCAACCCGAGTGTCTATCGCTCTCGCTCTCGCAATGGGACATGTCTAGTCGTCAGCCGACTAGACATGTCTGACTGACGACTAGACATGTGCGGCTGACAACTATACATGTCCGACTGACTCCCGGATATGCGCGGCTGACCACAAGACATGTCCGGTCGACAACTAGACAAGTTAGGTTGCCTGGACATATGCGGCTGACAACTAAGCACGTCCGGCTGAAGACTAGGCATGTCTGGCTGACAACTAGACATGTTCGGCCGACACCCAGACATGACCGGCTGCCGACTAGATATGTCCGGCTGACAACTAGACATGTTCGACCGACACCCAGACATGACCGGCTGCCGACTAGATATGTCCAGCTGACAACTAGACATGTTCGACCGACACCCAAACATGACCGGCTGCTGACTAGATATGTCTGGCTGACAACTAGACATGTTCGCCCGATGCCCAGACATGACCGGCTGCTGACTAGATATGTCCGGCTGACAACTAGACATGTTCGACCGACACCCATACATGGCCGGCTGCCGACTAGATATGTCAGGCTGACAACTAGACATGTTCGACCGACACCCGGACATGACCGGCTGCCGACTAGATATGTCTAGCTGACAACTAGACATGTTCGACCGACACCCATGTATGTCCGGCCGACATCAAGACATGTCCGGCTGACAACCAGACATGTCTGGCTGACGTCTAGCCGCCCGACTGCATACCAAATCTGGCGTCCCCCCCCCCCCTCCCACCCCTTTCCATAGTCTAATCTCAACAGAGCGCGATCTCATTGGTTGGGGCGCGCGCCGTACCCACAAATGGCCGATTTGGCGGTCCGGCCGGATCAAAGGCGGTCCGGCTTCATTTCGCGGAGATCCAAAACAGTCGGCCTCATTCATCTCACGGCTTGGTAATTTATGCCAAGCATTACACAACTGATAGCCGTCGCCGTGGCATCATTCGGCTTCGGTTCACCTGCCAAGTGCCTGTCAAGCACAAGGAGCCAGCGAGTTTCTTCATATAAGCTGTAGGTTCCGGTTCACGTGTATCCCGTGCATATCACGCAGCTTGGTGTATGGTTTTGAATCAGCACGCATCTGCCGCGGTAGTTCCAGTTGCAGGGGAAACCTTAGCGGCCCATGCCAACCACTGTCTTTCCACTGAACACTGAACGTTTCCTACGGTGTCAAACATCATTGGAAACGTTCACACATGCACGTAACGGCACGTAAGCTGACCATGGTTGGCTACGATGAAAACCCATTAAGTGCACTACTTTTAGTACCAACTCAAGGCGTCGGCATCAGCCCAGCTTCGACGAAAAAGAACAGAAGAGGCCTGGTACCGAGACCGCGACTGTGCACCGCAGCGGTGCCCGTTCGACCACCTGACTGAACCAGCAGAGCTTTCGCACCCCGGCGTGCGCGACCGCCCGCCGCCCGCCATCGTCCGGCGCCATTAATCGCCAATCGCCGTTGCCGTCAACTGATCGGCACGGCCGGCCGGAAACGGAGCCGGACCCGTCGCCGGCGAGCCAGCCGCAATGCCGCCGGCTGTGCGTGGCGGCGCCTATCGCTGACAGTCACCCGCCCACCGGCTATGTTCCGTCGACCCGTGAGTGCGACGGGAGGCATCCTCGCCGCGGCCGACGGCACGCAGCTGACGCAGCTGACGCCAGCTGACGACGCACGCGTCGGCGGACGCCAAGCGAGCGGTGTGTTGTGCGCGTCGACAGCTGTCGGCTGCGAAGACACGTGCGGATGGAGACCACCGAACCACGTCACCTCCCTTATATCCAGCGTCGGCCGACGAAACGGCGCGAATTCGGGACGTCCGTGGCAGTTCGTAAGTCGCCGGGAAACGCCCAGCTGTGTCGACTATGGCGTCGAAACTAGTTCACGCTCCCGCGCAGTTTCCAAACAGCGATTTCCCCTCAGGGAGATCAATGGCACCGCCTCCGCAACCCAGCAGGAACTTGTTCGATGCTCCAGCAACCAGCCACGCGTGTGAGCGCCTCACGCATAAATAACAAGAAAAGAGAAATGGTGGCGAAAATGGGGCGAGCTCGTGCCAGTAAAAGTGTTGAAAGAGTGGTTAAAATAATCTTAGGTGTAGGCATGCCGGAACCGAAGAGCACGGGTTCAATCCGCGCAGCGCAGCGTTGTCGCCAGAGCAATGGGTGGAAATTTTTCGCAGGGAGATAAAGCTTCACCCCGCCTTTCCGGATGTTCTCACGTCCATGAAATTAAGCCAGACACACATAGTGAGGCGGTCGCCGACCGAAGCAGCAAGTACTCACAATAAAATGTGCTAAGTTAAGATGTTAAATTCAGTTCTCCCGGCGAATCGATAATAACCAGCAACCGTTGCTAACATTGTCAGCTCATTACATCTTGTTGCGTAAGGCCGGCTTCAATACGTTAAAAAGGCGGCTGGATGTCTCGCGTTAGACTAGGCTAGCTTCTAGCTTAGACCAGCTTCTAAATGCTCGCCTGACAGCCATACGCCGCTGCCCTCCAAGCGCCTCGTTCTCGCTGCTCGGCAAGCGCGACATAGACACAATCAGAACCCCAGCACCAGGCGCAGCGCGGCTCCCGTTCATTGGCCATCAACCTGCCGCACATGTGTTCCCAGACATATAGCGGGAAGGCCAAGGAATGGAACCAATTAGCGCTGACAGATACCCAATATTATAGGACACCAAGCCTCCTGAGCCTCCTGGCAGATCTATTTCCATCCCATTCAGGAACCATCCACGTCGCTCCAAAAAGAAATCGTTAGCCGGGCTGTGACGGACATCCGGCATGACGTGGGCAGGTGTCCAACGCCTGCTAGATATAGGTCATACACAGATGGCAGCACTATCACCCAGGACCGCACTGCCTTGCAGTTGCACTAATCATGCATCGCTCAACTTGTCATAAACAGGTGGATGCACCTCGCGTCATGTCGAAACAACGAAGTCCCATTGGTGAATTGACTTAAGCTGCGAACCCATATGAAACAACGAATATATTACCTTAAGCTCTACGCGAACTTAATGAAAGCAACATGGACGAGGGCGCGCTCGCCAGTCGCTGCGAGCCCAACTCAGAGCGGCTAGAGGTCGGAGGGTCACACCAGGCGTGCTTACCTGGGGTGTCATCAGGGGTCGGAGGGTCACGCCAGGCGTGCTTACCTGGGGTGTCACCAGAGGTCGGAGGGTCACACCAGGCGTGCTTACCTGGGGTGTCATCAGGGGTCGGAGGGTCACGCCAGGCGTGCTTACCTGGGGTGTCACCAGAGGTCGGAGGGTCACACCAGGCGTGCTTACCTGGGGTGTCATCAGAGGTCGGAGGGTCACATCAGGCGTGCTTACTTGGGGTGTCATCAGAGGTCAGAGGGTCACACCAGGCGTGCTTACCTGGGGTGTCATCAGCGTTTGGCCGGTTCGTGCAATAGTACTTCTGATGCGCCGCCAGCGTGCTGAGCGAGCTGAAGTTGATGCCGCACGAGCAGAGCATCCCGCGCGCTAGAGAGCAAAATACAGGCGAGGGTCAAAAACAGAGGGCAGCACGATCTGTTGACAAACAGCCACTGATACTGTAGCGCATATGGTAGCTGTGCCGCTGTAGAGTACAGAATGGACCAAACCGGACAAGGGGAGAAAGCCCAGTGCGAGTAACAACGAGCAAATCGCCGGCGCTAGACAGAGGATCCGCCACAGCAGAGCTGCCGAACGGAATGCCTTTAGCTGGAAAAAACTTGAACAGATGGCGGATCTGCAAGAGAAAGGGCTTGGTCGCCCGGTTAGGAGACCCCCATTGACCCAGGCATTGCCTGCCAGATGACTTTGCATGAAGTGATTGGTTTTACCGAGAAGTCGGCTTTTGAGTCAAAGACGCAGAAGGTCGCGGCATCCTCTCTGATTCCTTTCGCACGTTCTCTTTTTCTCAGAGCGTTACCATTGTGGTTCCAAAATGGCAAAATTTTGGCCATATCGTGGCTCCGGCGGAAGGCGAGTAGACGTTTGGGACGCTCACATTATGGATGTATGCTTTAGATGCTTAGTCTTAAACACTTTAATTGGATGGACTGCATTGCGCTGCGACCGACAACGCAGGGCAAAGGCGCCACTCTTTGACTTCTTCGGAATTGTTGCCGTTGGAAAACTGCTTTTGGGAGGCGTAACTTTCCTCTTGCTGTACGTCGATCGATGGCGAGTGTCAAACACGGATGCCCTGGGGCGAAGGACCGGCGTGCCTAGCCGCCCCGTCAATCTCGTAGGTCTGCGTCACACGCGGCCGACCTCCAGATCGGATGGCACGCCGACCTCCAGATCGGATGGCGCGCCGGCCCCCTGCACCGCTGGCGATTAGTATCGCTGCTGGTGGCGAGACGGCGCGAGCGGGCGCAACGCCGCAAACACGTATAATTGTGGATTTGCGGACCGGTTCGCATTACAACGCGTGACACACACGGGCGGGAGATGCAGCGCACGTGACCCGGCACGTGGAAATGAAACACCGCAAATGCAAGCATATGATGATCGGGTTTCAGACATGGGGTAAAGAAAGTAATTGCTTTCAGGTCGGCACTGGGAATTTGATGTTATCTTAAAAAGAATGGCGTGTAAATATGATTGCATACTGCTTGAACATGAGTTCAAGCATTAATAAATGTTGGATAGTACTAGCACTCACCAATACTTGTGTGATATTGGCACCTAGCGTGTCTTGTAATTTAGCTTAAACGCTGTGATACGCTAGTTGATCACATCAGCGCTCAAATCGGCCGTAATGTAATGGCGCTGAAATAAAATGGCAGTTCAAAACCTGTGTGTGTTTGGGGCTTTACGACGCACTCAGCTGCTGAGGCTATATGGCGTCGCCTGCCTCTCACCCTGGCAGGAAGGGCGGGCACCGCGAGGAATCGAACCCCGTACCTCTGGTTTCCCAGACGCGCAGTAGCCAACGCAGACGCGCTAACCAGCAGTTCAAAACCTGTTAACGTAACTGTATCATACTAACACATCACTCACAACTTGCTTGCTCAAGCCCTTTAAAATCAAAGCCTTTAGAAGACATTTTGATGATCCCCGTAAGCCATTGAGAAGTGAATGAGCCGTTAATATATGATGCTTGGCAAGGCGCTGCACTGTAGTCAAAATAAGATTTTTCATAAAACATGCATTGTAGTTAATCAAGAAATGAACTGTTCCGCGCAATTCACGACACTTACGCAAAGCTCTAAACATTTAGGCATAAGGACAGCGGACTCGATCACCCAACAACCTGGAGGCATGCTCCGTGGACAACTCAAAAACATGTGGTGTTTTGTGAACGCCATTTCCGTTTAGCGTTTTTAAGTTCAAAGATATGACGGCAGTCCATAATCCAAGGAGCAAAAATTGGCATAAACAGCTCACGTCAACAAGTAGTACTACACGTGTTTCACTATTGAATGTTACAAATATTGGAGAAACAACTGAAACGGATAACGCCACATCCTGCCGGTTGGTTCCGACACGGTTTATTGAACATTCAGAACAAAATGTGCGTTTTTTTGTCATGGGCAAATATGTTGCGACTTCTAGCAAATACGACATTCATTTTAAGAATTACTATTTGCTATGTATTACTAATTGCTATTTATTGCCTACTTTTTGCTATCAACTTAGTTCCCATTTGTTCCACACGTTATGTAGCATTTCCCTTTTCCTTTCCACCGCCGTCATGACGGGGAACCATCGCAGGTGCAATGCATAGCTTTTTGCTGTCAGTTTCTATTTCATCAATTAACTACATCATGTATAATGTTTTTTGCTTTCAGTTTCTATTTCATGAATTAACTACATTATGTGCAATGCATTTGCTTATGACTAGCAACTAATCCATGATCACCTGCATGTTGGCTGTAAACGTATGCAGCATGTCAGCCGGATGGTAGTCAATGTTTACTTATGCATTCCTTTCGGAACATGTTCTAATAGATTGACTTGTCACGACCAGCATGTGCACAAACAAAATCAATTTACGATTAGGACGAAAAGGCTGACCACCACCGAGCCTCTCCGCCGCTCGAAGGGCTCCGGCCCACGGCAAATTCGCGGACAGACGAGGGTTTACGATCCTATGTCACACCGGCTTCTCATAAAGACGCCGAGGGGCGGCATTAAGGGTGATTTAGCTGAAAGAAGGCATTACCAGCCGTAAAATTGACAGCGCTCTGTCATCGTGAGTACTTTCCATGCGGGCCCACAGGCGGCCTGTAAATCAGGCCCGGCTCGGGCGGTGCATTGGCGCCGTGACAGCCGGCGTCACGCCCAGGTCACCTCAGCTCGACCTGCCCAGTTCGCCAACGGACGGAAGAGGCCGCTGAAGACGCACTCCCAAGCATGGCCAACAGACCCGCGATGGGAGCCGGGTAAGCCGGCACCTAATTAAGCTCGTCCGTTCAAAAACAAACGGTGATTGTGGGCGCAGCCAGCTGAGCGAGTGTTAACGTCAACAACAGAAAAAAACGAAATGCCGTAGCTTCAGAGACCCGGTCCGGGCCGTCCAATAGTGCCGCTCTTGGCAGGCTGCGACCACCGATCGCACTGCCGTAGGAAAACAATCGGAAAAAGTAGCACGATCCCTTATAAGCTGTACTGCCATGCTTAAAAACACTTCAATATTTGATCTCTTTAATCGAGAAGCACATATAGCGGGTGGTCAGAGCGCCGATAGTGTAGTGGTTACCGCGTCCACGTTAACCACTGCGCGTATGGGAAAGCGGAGGTACGGGCTTGATTCCCCGCGGTGCCCGCCCTCCCTGCAGGGGTGAGAGGTAGGTGACGCCACATAGTTCCAGCAGCTCAGTGCGTCGTGAAGCCCAGTGACGACAGCCAAGTGGCGCAGTTTGACAACATTGCAGTATTACCACTTCTTCTTCTTCATGTCCCCATCCAATCGACGTGGGAAACGTAAAAAAGGCTGAACACCCCGGGTCGCACACGGTTCCCGACCTCGGCGATCCGCCGAGATGAGACTCATGGATACAGACGGAAAAGAAAACGGACAACCGACCGGCAAAGAAGTTGGCCAATATGTTGCCTGTTTCGAGATCGGGCTAGAACACAACACGCTGCGCTGTAAGCCGAGCCTGATCTGGTCATGAAAACTACGCGTAGCCGAGATTTTTGTGACCAAAACTAGCCACGCTGACAGCGTGTCTCAGAGACTTTTGCCACAAAAAACTCAAGTGTTAACTGATTCAACCGATCTAAATATTGTGATGCATTTATAAGTTCGATTCGATAGGTTGAGGAATGCATTTTGGTACTATTTGCATGGCGACAACAATCACGACTGTGATCACCTAGCTCGCCCAGCTCATCACAAACAACACCGCGTCTTACTAGTTTGTCATCCTTAGAAACGTAAAAATGTCGTAATTCCATCCTGTACGACCAGTGTTGTATTATCCTGTATACGACCCGATCACCGCCCACCCCGAGGCCGCTCACCAAGCCCAAGGCCCACCTCAGCAATGGTCGCCTACTGCAACGGTCGCAGCGCTTTACCCAGAACTGTCTCTCGCATCTCCGCGCCTCGTGCCAAGTCTGCTTTCTAGCCGCTCATTATAGGACTTCTGGATAACCGACTGCTTGCCGTTGCTAGCGAAATCATCGACCGACCGAGCCGGCGAAGACGGCGACGGCGACCAAACCCGAGCGCGTTAAAAGGGTGACACCCCTTCGTAGGCGGCCACAAAAGCAGCCTTTGCCGACACTTGCGAGAGTGTTTAATACCGTGTAGTTTCATTGGCATTATAGAGTGCGCCTGTCTCACCCGAAGCTTGCAGCAATTCATGTAATCGAACTGAGCGGGCTCCGTGAAGACTATTGCCCAGCATGACGGGCAGTGGCAAGATTAACACACAACCCCACTGTAAGCCTCCCGCTTCTATCCCCTGTCGTGTGAACAGGCACAGCACACTAATGCATCCACAATACATCCCAGAGCCCGAATCCCAGAAGTGCGGCCCATTTCTGTCACACAGCGCGAGGCACCTCTCGCTGGCATCCAATTCACACCAGCGTCTGGTCTCCGCGTCAGCAGAGCGCGCAGCTGGAGCCGCACGGCCAGGATCAGAGACAGATTAGCAGTTCTCGTAAACCGCGGCGCGCCGGCGCGCGGGCGGCGACGTCTAATTAGACGGCCCCGGCACCGCGGAGTGACGCTTTCGTTTGCGCCAATTACGCGCGTCAGGCGGCGCGCCGGTCACCATCCCGCCGAGCGCGGTCTGCCGAGATATGACCGGAACGACCCGGAAGTGCCACGCCTCCGGACCGGCGAGGCGTGAGACGTTCGCGCCGCCGGCGTATCGAGCTGCGGCGGCGGCGCGGCGGCGGCGGCGGCGGCGGCGGCGGCGGCAGGGGTTTCACGTCCACGTTCCGAACGCTTCCCATGGGTGCCAGGCCCGTCGCTACCAGGCGCTCCGACAGGTCGCCGGCTCTGTTACGATCCACCTGAGGTACGACTTCCG